GTCATCGTCTTTTATCGTTCTAATTCCAGATACTTTTAGACCTTTATATGGGTTAAACGATTATGGGTGTTTTCAAGAATCAACTTAGGCATGATTAGCTAGAGATGGCAAAAGTTTTTTATTACGTAATTAAAAACAGGTGATGATAAATTAAAAAACAGGTGATCATTATGTGATCCAGTATTCGGACTTTAATCATCACATGTTTTAAATAGGTGAAAAAGTGTTTTAAACTATTTTTTTACCATCCCTATGATTAGCTAGTGATCGTAATAGAGCACAACAAAATTTGAATAAAGGTGTTCTCAAGCACCTCAATCAAGTGATCGGAAGCAAAATTTTAATTATCAGAAATTAAATAAATGAATTAAATGAGTTACCATTCCGATGACAAAATCAGGGAGACACAAACCACCTTTTTTCTTCAAAAATTTACCATTGATATAGGTTGCTCAAACACTACTTTTACATTTTTTGCATATCGAACATAATAAACAATGAATTCTCAACAAATTTCTCAACGTTCTAAAAAAATTGTCACTTTATTTTTAATGCTCGAAGCTTTTAAAACAAATAATCGATGCCTTGATATGAACGTAACAAATACAACACATCTTTTAATGTTTAATCAAACTGTAATGAATACTACTATTCAATTTTTCACTCATCTAAACTTAAGAACTTCTCAGCAAAGAAGGCCCAAAACTGTAGGATTTTGGGTAGATGTTTTTCCATATTTAACGGATAATGAAGGTTATAACTCTTTTCGAAAGCATTTTCGTATTACCTGTGCTACTTTTAGTACAATTGTTTCACGATTAGAAAGTCATCCTGCCTTTAGTGCAACTGCATCTAATGCGACTCCTGTGTGGAAACAAATTGCCATTGTATTGTGGCATTTAGCAAATGGAACAGGAATAAGAATATTAGAACAAACTTTAAGAGTCAGTCAAGGATCAGTTAGTAATTTTACAGATCGATTTTTAGAGGCATTATTAGACTTAGAATCTGACAGAATTGCATGGCCACGAGGAGCAAGATTAGCAGCTATAATTCAGGGATTTGAGTGTGAAGAGATAGGGTTAGAAAATAAAAAATTACCGAATGTTATTGGTGCTATGGATAGCTCTCATATTCCAATTCACCCTCCTTCTAAAATGGATCTCGATATGTAAATCGCAAAAGCTTTCATTTGATAAACTTTCTTGGAGTTGTTGATCACCAAAGGCGATTTACTTTTATACATGTTGGTGAAGCAGGTTTGTATTATTAAATATTATTTAAAAATTAAATTATTTATTACATATTTAAATAAAAATTTATTGTAAAAAAAAAAAAGAAGTGTACACGATTCTTGTGTATTTAGCTGTACAATTCTTAATCGTGAAATCAAGCTTCATCCAGAACAATGGGTTCCAGGAGGTACCTATATTATTGCTGACTTGGCATATCCACTTCGGACCTATTTAATGAAGGCATTTCTGAATTATGATTTATTGGGTCATCGAGAGCGATGTTTTAATAAAACACTTTCATCAATGCGGATGATTGTTGAAAATGCATTTGGAATTTTAAAAGCACGATGGAGAATTTTATTGCACAAAATTTATTGTACTGAACTAGAACGAATAGTTAGAATAATTCATGCATGTTGTATCTTACACAACTTTTGTATTGATAATGGTGATTTATTGTCTTTTGAAGATATTGAAGTAAATAGTGAATTAGAATATGAAAATCAGAATGATATAGAAAACGATGCAATTACAGCTGAACAAGAGAGAATAGCGGGTATTCATAAAAGAGAATATCTAGCAGATTATCTTATGAATGTTTAAAATTTTAAAAGGAATTGTTTAAAAATTTCTATTTGTTCGTCGTGCTGTCTTTCTTGAATTTCCGTAGTATGAGAATGCTGACAATCTATTGCTTTGATAATAGCTGTGGTTTGTTCTTTAATAAGTGTTTGAAATTCTTCAATAAGATTTTCTTTTTCACCAATATGCTTATTTTTTCGTTTTCTTGATGTAATCTGCAATATATAAAATTAATATAAATATCTAATTTGAATTATAAAGTACAGTATATAAACAATATTACATGTTCATCCTCATTTAACTCTTCACTTTCTTGTGCTTTACGTTTGACACCTCGGATAGAATCGCTTGTAATAGATACCTCAACACTTGGATCAGATCTTAAATATTCATCGATATCATAAAAAAATTCTCAATCATTTTGTAAAAGTTCTTCTCCAGTACTTGCTACAGTGTCTTTGATATCACGATATTTCTGAAACAAGGCATCCCACTTCTGCTGAATTAATGTTTTAGATCGTTCTTTTAAAACGGGACCAGCAATACTGGATGATTGTATATTTGAGACAATTGTATCCCAAATTCTTCCTTTTTCACGTGGATCTTTTACTTTTTGTAACATTTGTTGATGCTTTCCAACCTCTTCAATAAGTACTCGAATCTCAGGTGATGTCTACTGATTTGATAATTTATTAGTACTAATTGGTACATCAGAAATAATAACAGGAAGGGTCGAAATAGGTTGTTCAACCGAAATAGCAGAGTTACTATAAATTGCCTATTTAAAAAAATTTAGATACGTATGTACATACAACACATATATAGTATATATAACGATAATATTAAAAAAAAAAAAAAAAAATTACTTCTTGTTGCTGTAAGGCAACTTTTGCTAATGACTCCATGAATTGATTCTGTTGCTGTTGCAACAAAAAATTTAAATTGGTAAGGTCATTTAAAGGAGAAGCCAAAACCAAAGCCGAAGCAACTGAAGTTGAAGCTTCGACAGCTGGTTGAACTGGTTGAGAGGAAATTTTTTTATTGGATTTTTTAGGTTGCATAATGAAAATTACGAAAAACAGAAAAAGCATGCTCAAGCATTTAATTCTATAAATATTGTTATCAATTGTGATGCATGAGCGTCATCACGATCATTACGTGATCAATTGATTTAGATGCTTGAGAACACCTTAAGCAAATTATGACATAATTGAAGTTTGCTCATGATGCTATTTTTTAGTGATCGTAATAGTGCTCATTTATTACAATCAATTAAAATAGAAATTGTAAATTAATGCTTGAGCAGTTCTTTAATGATCTCTATAATTATTTATCAAATATCACCGTCAAAAAATAAAAAGCGGAAAATAAAAAGCAGTCCAACACGAAAGAACAAATGCTACTATTCTTTGAACACAACCTAGTGAGGTAT